AGTGCTCTTTCGTGTCTTTTACAGCAGTCCCCTCTCATTCCCTACATTTACCTAATTTCCAAAATTCTGCTCCTGGTTCACTTTTAATCCCATTTTTCCCCCATGGTGGTCCCTTCTATACAGATAATATTAGCTCTTTCCTGTAGATAATTCAAAGGGGTAAGTCATCCACAGTTGGTAAGGGAGTGAAAACCTTGAATTGCAAACAGGGCTTTGAGGTTTTTTTTCTTTTTATGTCCCTGGATATGTTCCAGTGTCTCATGGTTTATATTCTATGGGAACTGGAATAGAATTTATATCCTGCTGCTGTATGAAAATTGTGTAAATTTTAATTATATTGAATTGGTTCACAGTGCTTCTCACTTCTCCTATATACTACCTTGCTATCTATTCATCCTATTAATTTTTGAGAGTTTGATATTGAAACTTCAACTACAAATCTTAACTTATCTCCTTAAAAGAATAATTGTAATATATTGTGGAACTATATGTAACTTTGTTCTATGTTTTCCAAGTATCCTGTAAATGTGTTATCTCACTTTCATAGTTTAAAAAAGAAAAAAGAAAATAGATCAAAAAACAACAACAACAACAACAAATAGGACTTTGACAGGTGAAAATAGGGGAAGGACTGTTCAAGCAGAAGAGAAAATATAAGGAAAGGAATAGTTGCAAGAAGGGGCAGGACTGTTTGAAGGATAAGTATCCCCCTTGAGTATCAGGGTAAGGCAGGAAACTATGTTGGTGCTTTATTCTGCAAAGACCAGAAACCTGTGTTTTATAAATAACTGAGGCTCCCAGAAGGCTTCTCTCAATCGAGAACAAGATGAGTGAGTTACACTTAAAGAAGATCCCTGTGACAACACAGGGAAGCTTTGGCTGGGAAGAGATGAGAAATAGAAGGAGATAAGAGAGCAGAGTGATACAGGTATGAATTAGTGAGAGTTTATTTAGGGAATAACAGCAGGTGTGAAAAATAAAATGCATGTGCTAGCTCAGCTGTTGGCTAAGTATGGTCACTGGGACCACATCTGGTCTGCCCGTTGCCTGATTTTGTAAATAAAGTTTTATTGGAACGCAGCCACATTCATGCATTTACGTATTGTCTGTGGCTTCTTTTGTGCTGCAACAGCAGAGGTGAGTGTTATGACAGAGACTGTATGGCCCACAAAGACTAAATTGCTACCTGGCGCTATTCCAAAAAAAGTTTGCCAACTCCTGTTCTAACTCAGAGATGCCATTGTTGACATAGCCTAAGTCTGGCAAAACACAAAGGATGGGACAGAGGAAAACTCAAAAGCAAGTAGACGTTTGGGTTCTGTGTTGACTGTGAGAACAGTGGTCGCAGAGGGCATCGTGAAGTTGAGAGGATAAAAATGCAGAAGAATAAGTAGATGCATGCATCTTTGACTAGGAATTTTCAGAAAATAATGGAGAGTAAAAAACTATTACTATCTCATCTATTACTGTCTCAACTATGGTCTCAGTGGAACCATCAAGAAGGCTGAACGCCAAAGAATTAATGCTTGCTAATTGGGGTGCTGGAGAAGACTCTTGAAAGTCCCTCGGACTGAAAGGAGATCAAGCCAATCAATCCTAAAGGAAATCAACCATGACTATTCATTAGAAGGACTGATGCTAAAGCTCCAGTACTTTGGCCATCTGATGCAAAGAGCCAACTCATTGGAAAAGACTCTGATGCTGGGAAAGACTGAGGGCAGGAAAAGAGCGTGATAGAGGATGAGATGGTTGGATGGCATCATGGACTCAATGGACATGAGTTTGAGCAAATTCCTGGAGATAGTGGCAGACAGGGAAACCTAGTGTGTTGCAGTCTACAGGGTCACAAAGAGTCAGACATGACTCCGTGACTAAACAGCAACAATACCTATCTCATCTCCAAACATAAGAGATTATTCACAATATTTTGAGCATCAAGAAAAGTTCTAGTGTTGAATCAAGATCAAAGTAGGAGGCTTTTCTGGGTAGTCTACACATCCTTGAGGCTTTCCTGATTACCTTCTATGCTTTGCTGATGACTTTTTCCTAAACTTTGGTCCTCCAGTTAGGATAACTCACTTCCTGAGCAGCATCTGGGAGGTGATGTCATCACTTCAAATCACCTAAGCAAGGACAGTGAATCCTTGATCCCTGAAGATGTCTTTCATGAGAGTTTTAGATAACATTATTGATGACTGAACATAGGTTATAGCAGCTTATTCTCTTAATTCCCAGAGTTTTGTGAACCCTCTCAATCTGTTAGCACCATACTTAGAAGTTTTAATCATAGAGCAATATTTCCAGCCCAACAATTTTTACTACTACTTCCATATTCATATTGGAGGGCTTCCCTGGTGGTTCAGTGGGTAAAGAGTCCGCCTGCAGTGTGGGACAGCCATGTTCCATCCCTGGCTTGGGAATAGCCGCTGGAAAAGGAAATGGCAACCCACTCCAGTATTCTTGCCTGGAGAATTCCATGGACAGAGGAGTCTGGCGGGCTATAGTCCATGGGATCACAAAGAGTTGGACATGACTGAGTGACTAACACTTTCACTGCATTAACAACAAATGAGCCAACGCTAGACAGCCTTATAAAGTGCACAAGGCTTGTCCTTCCAAAACGAGTATCTCCCACATTCATATTGGGGATAATGCCAACATCACAGAGGATGACGTGACTCCTTTCTTGGCCATTTTGGATTGTTTTAATGTTTTATTTATTTCGTCTTGGCTGCACTGGGCCCTCATCACTGCTTGGACTTTTTCTCTGGTCTCGGCAAGTGGAGGCTACTCTTGGTTGCCCTGTGTGGACTGCTCACCACGTTGGCTTCCCTTGTTGCCAGACTCAGGCCCTAGGGTGTGCAGGCTCCAGTAGTTTCGGCACGTGGGCTCAGAAGTCGTGTCTCCCAGGCTCTAGGGTGCGGGATCTGTAGTTGTGGTGCACAGGCTTAGTTGCTCTGAGGCATGGGGAATCTTCCTGGGCCAGGAATCGAGCCCATGTCTCCTACATAGGCAGGTGGATTCTTTACCACTGAGACACCAGGGAATCATAACCATTTTAATTTTTAAAATGCCTAATAAAAACTGGCCACCTCAGTAAGTTTAAATTATGTTATCTTAATGAAAAGTGGATCATTAATTTTATTTTAAATATCTATATTAAACTAAGTAGCATGATAATGTTTTTAAAACCTATCTTTGCATGAAGATGAACATGACATAAGCAGAAGATTTAAGTGGACATGTGTGCCATGTGGTCTTTCCAAGACCAATTATTGCTTTTGTCAGCTGAGTATTCAAGAATAACTGTTTCTATATGAAATCATTATTATTGGCACATCTTGTTCTATACAGTTCTATCCAGAGATTCTTTAGTCTTAAACACAAGAAACTTTAGACAGTGAAAGGAAAAGAGAAGATTATTATTATTGAACATTTGGTTCTGTGTGTGTATGCGTGCGTGTGTGTTAGCAGTGGAAAGAGAAAAAGAGACCAAATAGAAGGAGAAGTAATGGGGAGTTTTGGTGTCCTCGATGGTGAATTTCCTTCCCAGGGTCCTTCCTGAGCTGGGAAGGATGGTTTCTTTCTTACCTCTTGTGAAAGAAGGGGATAGATGCAGAAAACGTCAAACCACAGTATACTGAGCTGGAATGACTTGGTGGCTCTCTGAATTTGCATTCTTAGCCTCCTGTTATGGCAAACATGCTGCTGCAGCTGCTGCTGCTAAGTCATTTCAGTCGTGTCCGACTCTGTGCGACCCCATAGATGGCAGCCCACCAGGCTCCCCTGTCCATGGGATTTTCCAGGCAAGAGTACTGGGGTGGGGTGCCGTTGCCTTCTCCGGTTATGGCAAACATATTCATGTATATTTGGGTGTTACAAATTTAAAAAAATGAAAAAAAAAAAGATGAACTCTATCCAGCCTGGGAAGCATCTCTGCCAGAATAATGTTAAATTAAATAAACAGTGTGTAATGAGAGCTGTTATTACCTGCTCTATGGTCATGCTCAGGCACGCAGTCTGCAGGCTTTTGTGTCTAAGTGTTATCATAAATCTTTCAGTCTATTTTGCTTCTTAAAATTATAACTAACATCTCTTTAATGGTGAAGTCTGTATCCTCATTTAAATCTTTGAATCTCACCTAAATCTCCAATGTTGAAGGCTTATGTTTTCATTACTTCTTATCTTTGAAGAGATAAGAAAGTTTGAATTACGACAGATCATTTTGAGAAAGATAAAATCCCCTTGCTTGAAATTGAGAGGGTATTAAGAGTAGAATTCTGCTAGAAGAAGAAATGAAGAAATGCTTGCATCTGGCAAATCCTTCCGTTTCCATCTTTTTCTTAGTAGTCTCATTTCCATCCGTATGACCCTGAGGAGTTTCTGTCCTAGCTTCTTGCACTTTGCTCTGTACCAGAGGAAGGAAGGAGAGGACAGCATTTCAACATGAGTCTGACATTTTCAATTAATCGGCCTTGACTGCATGTTGTTTGTGGACGTGTTCCCTCACAGGTGGTTATTTCTATAGAGGGAGAGAAAGTCTCTTAGAAGCAAAAATACGAGTTAGTAGATAATAGCCTGTCGTTATGAAAATATTGAATAACTCTTGTCCCCACACATCCGTACTGATTTTATAATAACTTATACACTGATATCTCCTACTTGCCTCTCTAGAGAGATACAGGGCACATTAGAAGACCATAGGCTTGTGTTCATTTGAACTGAGATTGACCCTGGCTTTGAGACATATTAAATGTGTGATATTTGAGGGTCGTCGCCCACAGGAAGTTCAAGCTTACTGTGTGAACATCTGAATTCAGACCTGTCTCTCAAGGCTTAGTCCTCCTTTCTCCGTCCTTGCCTCCAGCAGCCACTCTGACTCAGGTCAGAAGCCAGTGAGTCATGCTGGGCGCTCCCTCCCTGGGCCCACTGTGGCTTCGCCACACTTGTGTCCTGCCAGTTTCCCCGGCCGCCAAGCCCCTCACTCCTGCTCCGTTCAGACGCTGCCTCGTGCCCTGTAGACTGCCTTCTCACGGCGGTCCAGCGTGGCCTTCGAGCCATCCTTTACGGTGCTGCTGTTGGGCTTTCTCTGAAGTGCCAACCTGATGGCTCCGTCTTCTGCGGGCAGCTGCCCAAAGCCATTCGCTGCGCACGGGACCCCTGCCAGGCTGCCCGGCACGTGGCCCCCACGTGTCTCTGCTCGCTGGCTCTGGCCGCTTCTGAGCCGTGTGTGGTGGGCTCCGGCCACTCACTTGTTTTTCTGAGCAGGATGAGGTCTTTCGTACCCACAGCCTTTTCTTCACACTCTTTCTCCGTTGTGAACAGCTCTTCCTTGCCATTTCTTTTGGAAATAGACAAGAAACCCACGCACAAAACTGAAGCAGCCAACAACAAAACTTCGAATATTCAGATTTAGTGTTGAGTTTCTTCTGACCTTCTCTCTGCTGATATGCATGTACACACATATTACATATATTATATTTATATTCATGTGTGGTGCGTCTGTTAGTAGCTCAGTCTGACTCTTTGCAACCCCGTGGACCATAGCCCGCCAGGCTCCTCTGTCCATGGAGATTCTCCAGGCAAGAACACTGGAGTGGGTTGCCATTCCCTTCTCCAGGGGATCTTCTTGACCCAGGGATCTAACCCTGGTCTCCTACATTTCAAGAAGGTTCTTTACCATCTGAACCACTTGTATTTAAACATTTATACACATATATGACTCAGATGCATCATAGAAAACATTGGTCTCCCACTTTTTCCCGAACTCCTTGTCCTTGGGCTCAAAATAGCATTTATTCTATTATCTTTGCTCCTGTCTTCTTGTTGCCTAACTGTGCTTCATACTGTGTGTAATCCTGGGTTTCCCTCATGCCCAGAACCCATCTCAATGACTATTGCAATTCAGTCCGTACTGCAGCTGCTGTCATGGTAGTTCCGGAAGCAGTCACTCCCACAGATGCCATTTCTTCATTAAAAACAAAAGCAACAGGTCAGCTTTCTAATCAAATGTTACTTATGCCCACATTTGTTCCTTACTTACTTATAGTTGGTGATGATACAACAATATTTAACCTCTCAAGTCTCATTATGTCTGTATTTTAATAGCATACCCTACCACCTCTAATTATCTTTTACTGGGAAAAATATGCATTGTACACTTGCCTTACATAAACACTTTGCAAAGCAAGCTCTTCATAGGAATTGTAGTACTTATTTTATGAGGTGTAAGCACCACAGAGAAATTTCTGTATCCCATCTCCGTCCAGACACAGACACTGCACTAGTGACCACACGCTGCCCCTGAGAAAGATGCTGCCGATTCCCCAAGTCCATGTGTACTGAGTGGTTTCTGCATGAGAGAGGCTGGTTGCCCTAAGTACCCGTGCTGGCTCATGGAATGCAGGGACAGCCAAGCTGATGTTAGCTGAGTTAGCGCTAGGGCGGTCGAGTGCGGTCATTGAACACAGCAAATGGTGCTTCTTTGAAAGAGAGGCAGTCAGGGCTCTTTCCTAAATTAAAATTCAATCCTAGCTCATTAGTTTCCAACTGATGCATTACCACGAAACCCATGATGTGCTAGAGTGTAATCTCATTTCTCTTTAGAGACCATTTTTGACCTTGGACAAAAAGGGACAAGATGGTAGCTACTGTAGAGTAGAAGGGGAAGATATCTGGTGTACAGAAAATGGATCGAGATTGTCTGGGCCACTTCCTGTTAGATAAGGGGGGGAAACATTTGAGGACCCCACTCACCTGTTCCCCCACCCCGGTTATGCTGGTGGGTTTTATAAACTGTGTCATAGAAATTATTTGACAGTGCAGCTTTTAGCAATTGCACCAGCAAGCCTTTAAAAGCTTGCTACTGTAGAATCCTGTTTTATGGAATCAGTATTGCCAGACAGATCACGGAAGCTGTTCCTACTCAGAGATTTGTAAGAGCTTCTGAATGATCTGCAGAGAATTGACTTGCGACCGCCGAAAAACACAAATCTAGGGACAAAAAGAGTCCTGTCTGTATTAAGTCATCCCCACTCAATGTTGTCTCTCTCTGGCCTTGTTGCATTTTCAGCACACTGCACGCTGTGTTATAATGGCTCAACAGACTATTGACAGATGAGTCTCCACTACTCCTAGGTGTATTGGTTAATTTTCCTTTTGAGAATCATGAATGACAAATTATCCCCGGGACAAGAACTTGGGTATACTGTTCGTTGTCACCATCGTCATTAGAAATGGCAGTGGTAATAGTGTTTGCAGGTACTAAGTTTTACATACTGAGCTAAATGTGCAGTCGTAACTGGCCCTCAGATATAATTGTAATATAACTGTCATATGTCAGCAGGTCTCTGACAGTGGCATCTGTGATAACAGTTCCCCTTTTGGCGTATGAAGGTCTGTGGTGAAATCTTGCTATTGTTCTTTGTTGAAAAAGGATGCGATGCACTGTTCGTGAAGATGGGAAGGGATGATCGCTCCATTTGAGAGCCATCCCGCTGGTTGCAGGGGGTTTTCCCGGTCCTTGCTGTCACCCTGTGTTTTCATGTGCTTCGCTCGTTTATGCTTCTAAAACAGCCCAGGGTAGCAGCCACGTCTGGTCTTGAGCGGAGATCTCACTCTGCATGGCTCCTGCCCTCTGCCCAGCCGTGAAGCATTCCATCTGCCTGTGTCTGCGAGGAGGCTCACGGCCTCTGGGGCTGAACCGGTGGGGTCAAATCATGTTCTCACCGTTTAGTGTAATTAACTCCAACCACCCGGCTGTTGCAAGCCCCGGTGCAGCCAACACAAGCAAGAGGAGGCCAAGAAGAAATTTCTCCTCATTATTAAGCGTAAGCCTAAGCACTTGTCTGTCTGTAAAAACAGAGCGAAGGGAGGAAAACTGAAACCAGCGCACGGGGTCTGAGGTTTCAATAAATGTCAGGGAGCGTCAAGTCTGTTTGGATTGCAAATTATTGCTGGCTGACGGTCTTACCATTTTACAACTGGAGATTGCTGTCATGGGGGTGGGGGACGTGGTGGCAGGGGGAGGCTCTCACATCACAACCAGAGGGGAGCAGAAGTTACCGAATACTGTTAACAATCGTGGAATTCTACAAGAGGGGCTTTGGCGTTGGCTCAATTTAGTCTTTCTTTAATGCACATCTCAAGAAACAACAGCCCACAACACGCCACTCTTCCCATCGGGTCTGCTGGAGTGCTGGGTTTGCCAGAGATCGAGACCTCATTTCTCTGGTTTACCCGTTTTAAACGCCACTACCTCCCTCTCCTCTGCTCAGACACTTTGAACATCTGAGAGCGATAAAGATGCCTAAATGTTTCAAGGTGAATTAATACCTGACTACATATCCGGGAGAAACACACACTGATCATTTGAGCAGTGGTTAAGGCCATTTTTCAGATGGATTAAATGAGTGGACAATTACTGATTCAAACAAGACCGAAGGCATGGGCATTCCAGCCCCGTACGTGGATGGACACGGGATAGTCACTTTTCGTTGGTGGAAACGCTTTTCACGTTGTGAAAAGTGTATACATGCTTCTCGGTACTCCTCCTGAAGTTTATTAATATTTTTCATTCCTCTTCCTCCTGACCAGCACATACTGAGGAGCCGCCCTGCACTAAGTACTGAGTTAGAGATACTGAAAACCAAGAAAGTAATGGTTCCTGTTCTCCCTAAACTCAGGGTCAAGCGTGCTTATTTTAACCAAGTTTCTTTTAGTTTAAAATAACTGAAGGCTCCTTCAAGTTAACTTAAGACCAACAGGAGAAACTTGCTGTAAGATACAGGGCTACCTGTGGATCCAAGAGAAAGAAACACAGCAGGAGACCTCCTGGATGCAGGCACAGACGCTGTTGAGAACGGGGCTCCTCTCTGCCTCTCTCCAGTTGCTGCGGCTCTTCCTCCTCTTCCGGTGGGCTTGCCTCTTGTTCTTAGCTTTCCAGGACTTCGCTGTCTTTTCTGAACTGTGCGTCGATTCAAATAGGGCCTTCTCAGGCAAATTTTCCATGTCGGTTGCCCACTGGAACTTCCCAGTTCAATTACCAGCTTTTGCAAGTCTTAGCTTAGAATTTATGCAGAGAATTGGACTGGTGCAGCTTGGGTCAAGCATGTGCCTTTAGTGGCTGATGCTCATTACGAGGGGGCTTCCCAGGCGGCTCAGTGGTAAAGCATCCGCCTGCTAATGCAGGGGATGTGGGCTTGATCCCTGTGTTGGGAAGATCCCCTGGAGGAGAGTGTGGCAACTCACTGCAGTATTCTTGCCTGGGAAATCCCATGGACAGAGGAGCCTGGGAGGCCGCTGTCCATGGGGTTACAGAAGAGCTGGACAAAACTGGGTGACTGAGCACGGGACACCAAAGCACCAGGGCGCACTTTGTGAATTTCCTGGGTTCTCTTCAGACTTCTGGCCCCGTTTTGTTGCATGATTTATTTATGATTATTAGAGTCAATCACTCCTGCCACATGGGCAGAAAAACATGCCCCAGATGCAAGAGAAAGCCCACGAGGGAGCAAAGAAAGGCAGGGTCTGGCGGCTGAAGTGGGCAGTATGTGCTGAAATGACAAGGCCACAGACAGCATCTGCTCCACGGCACAGAGACGTGGGGCGAGGTTTCGCTAAATGAGCAGATACGTGGACCTGAGGGACGGCGACGGGGACTGTTGGGGAAAATGTTTGTACATCCACGTTCGGGATGATTTTGTTTCAGGTGAATACTCACCAGATGATCCCGATGAGGACCCTGATTGAAACACAATGAGTCACCCATGATTCTATGGAGAAAGAAGTTAAGAAGTGGTCACACTGTCGGCTGCGGTGACTGACGCTCGGGAGAACACAGCTCTCAGACTGATGTGCTGGAGCTCGGGCCACCACCTGGTGATGGCTTGCAGGATGAGGGCAGGCCCCGGGAGTCAGGGCGTGGGCTCCGGGGCCAGGCCTCCACACCCAGGAAATCAGAGCACACGAGCTGTGCCTCGGTCATGTATGAGCCCCAGATCTCAGCCTTTCCGACCACGCGTTTCTCAGGATGTGATTGTCCATGCAGGCCTTCAGATTTTCGGTTACAGGATCCACATTCCTTTTTGAACAGCTGTCCCTTCTCCTCAGTCTACTTCCCCTTCAAAATGCCACTCCATATCCAAATTCTTCATGCAGTTTTATTCTTCCGTGAAACACTCTGCTCTCTGCCACCGCCTTACTGGATATGGTCACTCCCTTCTGTGCCCTTCGTAAACTTTATTTTACATGTGTTATGTAATAAGCTCTTTTGCAGTTGATTCTGACTATGCACCCACTGTAAACTGCTTGAGGACAGGAGTGTACCTTAGATACCATCTTATAGGTCATATTTTAAAAGCACAGAGTATATGCCAAATATTTGTTATATAATGAGTAAAGTTTTAATAAAAATCT